GCAAACAGCTCCCATAAAAAAGCTGGGGTAGCCATCCTTATATCAGACCACATTGATTTCAGAGTGAGGAAGGTCATAAGTGACAGTGAAGGCCATTACTTATTGATCAGAGGATCTGTACAACAGGAAGAACTTACAATAATAAATGTATATGCACCTAATGAGAGACCAGCAAAGTACTTAAAACAACTACTCATAGATTTGGAAAAAGACATCAATAGCAACACAATACTAGTGGGAGACTTCAACACTGCTTTGTCACCTCTTGATAGATCAACCAGACTCAAGCTTAGCAAGGACATACTTCATTTGAGGGAAACAATGGAAGAAAGGGACTTAGTAGATATATACAGGACACTTCATCCACAAAAAGCTGAATACACATTCTTCTCAAGCGTACATGGAACATTCTCCAAGATAAACCACATGCTGAGCCACAAAACATGCCTCCATAAAATTAAGAAGGTAGAGATTGTATCAACAATCTCTCAGACCATAATGCGCTGAAATTAGAAGTAAATCACACACAAAAACAGAAAACTAAATCAAACACCTGGAAATTAAACAGTGCACTATTGAACAACGAGTGGATTAGACAGGAAATCAAAGAGGAAATCAAAAGATTCCTAGAAACGAATGAAAATGAGAACACGAGTTACCAAAACTTATGGGACACAGCAAAGGCTGTGTTAAGAGGAAAGTTTATAGCTCTACAAGCATTCCTCAGGAAGGAGGAGCGAGCACACATAAGTAACCTAACCTCACAGCTTAAGAGCTTGGAGAAGGACCAAAAAAAGAGCACAACCCGAACAGGAGAATGGAAATAATAAAACTCAGAGCAGAGATTAACGAGATGGAAACCCAAAAAACAATCCAAAAGATCAATGAAACCAAAAGTTGGTTCTTTGAGAAAATTAACAAGATCGATAAACCTTTAGCAAAACTCACAAAGAAAGGGAGAGAGAAAACCCTAATAAACCGAATCAGAAATGAAAAGGGGGTCATTACAACAGAAACTACAGAAATTCAGAGGATCCTCAGGGAGTACTTTGAGAAGCTTTATGCCACGGAACATCAAAACCTCGAGGAAATGGATAAATTCTTAGACTCCTACAGACTCCCAAGGCTGAACCAAGAAGACCTGGAATACCTGAACAGACCTATCACCATCAAGGAAATTGAAATGGTAATAAAAAGTCTCCCCAAGCACAAAAGTCCTGGCCCGGATGGATTCACTAGTGAATTCTTCCAAATCTTTAAAGAGGACTTACTCCCGATGTTCTTTAAGCTTTTCCACGAAATTGAAATATCAAAAACACTTCCGAACAGTTTCTACGAAGCAAATATCACACTGATACCAAAAGCAGACAGAGATACCACAAAGAAAGAGAATTACAGACCGATATCCCTCATGAACACAGATGCAAAGATCCTCAACAAACTACTAGCAAATAGAATCCAACTACTCATCAAAAAGATCATACACCATGACCAAGTAGGATTCATCCCAGGGATGCAAGGATGGTTTAACATTCGGAAATCAATCAACATAATCCACCATATCAACAAAAGAAAAGATAAAAATCATATGATCATATCAATAGATGCAGAGAAAGCATTTGATAAGATCCAGCACCCCTTTATGATGAAAACCCTAGCCAAAATGGGTATAGAGGGGACCTTCCTCAACATAATTAAAGCCATCTACCACAAGCCTACAGCAAGCATCATCCTCAATGGGGAAAAACTGAGAGCCTTCCCTCTAAGTTCAGGGACAAAACTGGGATGCCCACTCTCTCCACTGCTGTTCAATATAGTACTGGAAGTACTTGCAATAGCGATTAGGCAGGAAAAAGATATTAAGGGCATTCAGGTAGGAAAGGAAGAAATCAAGCTCTCACTATTCGCAGATGATATGATACTCTACATAGAGAACCCAATAACTTCCACCAAAAAACTCCTAGAAACAATAGACTCGTATAGTAAAGTTGCAGGTTATAAAATCAATACCCCAAAGTCCATGGCTTTCCTATACGGAAACAGTGAGAGAGAAGAAAGCAACATGAAAAAAACAATCCCGTTCACAATTGTGCCCAAGAAAATCAAGTACCTAGGAATCAGCTTAACTAAGGAAGTAAATGACCTGTACAAAGAAAACTACAAAACGCTGCTTCAGTAAATAAAAGAGGACATGAGGAAATGGACAGATATCCCCTGCTCATGGGTCGGGAGACTTAACATTGTCAAAATGGCAATACTACCAAAAGCATTGTATAAATTCAATGCAATCCCTATAAGGATACCCATGACATTCTTCCAAGAAATGGAGCAAACACTCCTGAAATTTATATGGAACAATAAGCCCCCACAAATAGCTAAAGCAATTCTTGGGAAAAAGAAAATGGGAGGAATCAACCTCCTGAACTTCAAACTGTACTACAAAGCAGTAATAATTAAAACAGCATGGTACTGGAACAAAGGCAGAACTGCAGACCAATGGAACAGGGTTGAATACACTGACATCTCCCCTCAATCATATGCTCATTTAATCTTTGATAAAGGTGCAAGTAATGTGAAGTGGAGTAAGGAAAGTCACTTTAATAAATTGTGTTGGCATCACTGGACGGCTACATGCAAAAAAATAGGCTCAGAACTCTGCCTAACACCATGTACAAAAGTAAGATAAAAATGTATTAAAGACCTCAACATCAGACCAGAAACCATAAGGTACATTGAAGATAAAGTTGGCAAAACCCTCCATGATATTGAAGCTAATGGTATCTTCAAAGATGCCACGCCACTGGCCAAGCAAGTGAAAACAGAGATAGATAAATGGGACTATCTTAAACTAAGAAGCTTCTGCACCTCCAAAGAAACAGTGACCAAAATACAAAGACAGTCTACAGAATGGGAAAGGATATTCAAGGAATACACATCTGACAAGGTGTTGATATCCAGGGTATACAAAATACTGGTTAAACTCCACAAAAAGAAAACATCCAACCCCATCCAAAAATGGGGCAATGAAATGAACAGAAACTTTCTCAAAGAAGAAATCCGAATGGCAAAAAAGCACATGAGAAAATGCTCTACATCATTAATCATCAGGGAGATGCAGATCAAAACCACAATGAGATACCATCTCACACCTCAGAGACTGGCCCACATTCAAAAGAACAAAAGCAACCTATGCTGGCGTGGATGTGGCGAGAAAAGGACACTCCTTCACTGTTGGTGGGAATGTCGACTGGTTCAGCCCTTCTGGAAAACAGTATGGACGATTCTCAAAAAATTAGAAATTGAGCTCCCATTTGACCCATCAATGCCACTCCTGGGAATATATCCCAGAGAGGCAAAAAGGTATAGTCGAAGTGACATCTGCACTTGTTTGTTCATTGCAGCACTCTTTACAATAGCCAGAAACTGGAAGAAACCTGAATGCCCAAGAACAGATGACTGGTTAAAGAAACTTTGGTACATCTACACAATGGAGTACTATGTAGCTGTTAGAAAAGATGAAGTAATGAAATTTACATACAAGTGGTACAATATGGAAAGTATCATGCTAAGCGAAATGAGTCAGAAAGAGAGGGATAGACATAGAAAGATTGCATTCATCTGGGGGATATAAAGTAACAAAGTATGAGATTAATACCCAAGAATAGCTGAGATCAGCACCAGGAGGATTACTCCATAACTTAGAGGCCAGCCGGGTATCCTAGAGGAAAGGGCAGTTCATCCAAATAAAGGATGTTTGGAGGATCCTCCCAGGAGGGGAGATGCATGTCGAAAGTAGACTATGGACTGAACATGTTTGCCACTCAATGCCTCTTTTGCAGACCACAACACCCACAAGGAGAGAGAGAACACAGGGGATTGCCCTGCCACAGAGACAGGGGGGATGGGGGGATGGGGGTGGGAGGGATATTATCCATGGTGGTGGAAAATGGGCACTGGTGGAGGGATGGGTATCTGATCATTGTATAATTGAAACCAAAGCACAAAAAATTGTAAATCTACAACTTTAAAAAAAATAAAATAAAATAAAGGGAAAAAAAAAGAAAGCTAAGCAGGGCAAATAAAAAAGTAACATTGCTACTCTTCAAATGGTCATTTATGAAACTGATTAATTAAAAAAAATTAAGTTTAGTTCTACTCACTACAGAGTGCATTAACTATATTATTAACTTACATTATCTAATTTACTGTGTCATAAAAATTACATAAAATATATCTTCAACATTTAAAACATTTATATGAATTCTACGATCATTTAAAATAATTTTTTTTAGTGGTTCAAAGAGAGTGCAGGAGGTAAGACATTTGCCTTCTCTTGTACCACCTCTTGTCCCATAAACACTGCCAGGAGTGATACCTGTGCACAGAGCAGAAGGAAGCCCTGAGCACTGCCAGGCCTAGCCTAACTTTTACCCCTTCCCAAATAGTGATTAAAAATAAAAAGTTCATTTTATAACAAGTCACTTTAGTGCAGGAAATAGTTAATGCTAATTTCCTTCCAGTTTTAGGGCATTCAATCTTAAAATATTAGCAGACTTAAGATTTTGTCCTAAAAATTAGTGCATTAATATTTTCTAATACAGCATCTATCTTTTTCTTGTAGTATTAAAATGCTTCTGTGGAATCTGAGTTTAAACTAATGAGGATGTTATTATTCATGTGCTAATTATTACTCACCATCTTTGTTTTATGTTTCTCCAACCAATGCATCAAACATAGGACTTAATTCTAAAAGCTAGTCTACCACAAAACACCTTTAAAAATAAACTATCTTGAAAGTTCTATGAAAATTAGACCAAACTTTTACTTTATGCGATATGCAGTACCTTATACATTGTGCAGTACATGTGGCATAATACAACTGACACTCCACCCACATTGACTAGGCTGAGAATCTTGTCATCTTAAACTCCTGTCTTCAGATTCAGTGGGTCAGTGCAGTTATCAAAGAACACAGTCACCTACAGTTTCCAACTCAGGAGATGAATAACCAGAGGGTAACCTATGAAGAGCTGAATCTGCATAACGACTGGAAGAGAAGGCAAAAGGAACCCCAGGACTCCAAAAGCTCTGATGCAGTAACTGAGCAGGAAATAACCTATGCAGAGTTAAATTTTCAAAACTCTTGTCAGGATCCTCAAGGGAATGACCAGCAGCTCCACAGCAGAGGTAAGAATTTTCACAGATACTGTAGAATACAACTGTTCTAGTATTTGCACAAAAGTAGAATAGAGAAAGGAATAATCTGCTCCCTTTCTTTTGTGGGTGAGAATCAGATCATAAAGTTGAAGTATGGCGTTTTAGCATGAAATCTGAGGACTAATTTTATTCAAGCATTGTAATTTGTTGCTGTTAACTAAAATCTCGTGAGGGTTGTATTTATTGGAAGTGCAATAGATGCAGTATCCAGGGAGAATATTAGAATAGAAGAATTAGTTTTTGAATCCAAATTCATATCTGTTAATCCCTGTGCAAGTGATTTGTCTTGTATACTAACCACCTAAACATTTGTGTCTATTTTTTATTTTCTGTGTTTTAATTTTCCTCAAGAAGCTTTACCGGAAAAGTTCATTGCTGGATCCCTGGTACTCCTCTGCCTTGTTTGGATGATAATAATTATCATTGTTATTCCCTGTAAGTAAATTTTGGAAAGATTATAAGGAGACTTTCCACATTAATGATTTCCTGTGACTTTAAATATTCATAATGTGAATAGGCAGAACTCTCATTTTTATTTTTGTTCTTAGAAAATGTCTAATACTTTTTCTAAGTATATTAAAAAATTCCGATACAGGGGCAGGAATAATAGTTTAACACTTGCCTTTCACATGGCCACTTGGATTCTCATATGGTCCTGTAAGCATTTCCTGAAGTGATCCCAGAGTATAGAGCCAGGAGTAACCCCTGAGTTTCCAACACCAAGGTTGGACCAATTTGGATGTGACCCCAAATTAAAAAGCAACCAAAAAAATTCAATACAGAATGATGTGAAAGTTGTTATAGTGTAAAATTTATTATAAACTAATGCTGGACATGATTAAATAGGTTCAGGTAAGAGATGGTGAAATTAGGTATCTTAAGCTTTTGAAATATTCTCCCCAATGTTCATAATTTTATTAGGTTCTTTAAGTAAAATAATTTTATTTTAGCTTACTCTAATCCTTAGCAATTAATAAATGTCTCAAACAATATTTCTTTCAAAGAACTAAAATATTACCTTATTTAAATCAAAATAAACATTTTTATGAATTTTAATTTTTCTAGCTACTGAGATTCAGGAGTCAAAAAATTCATCTCTGGTAGCAGTGACGCAAAACGGTATGTTTTAGAAAATTCTAGATGTTATTAGTACCTTTTATATTTTATCTTAGGTTAAACAAAAACGTAAATAAGGCTGATCAATTGGCTTAAAGAGTTGGATTGCAGGGCTCACAAGTGGGTACCCCAGGTTTCATCCTTGGCACCGCATGGCTCCTTTGTATTTTTAGAAATGACCCCTGGAAAACTACAGGGAGTAGCCACTGTGCACTTCCTCTATGTCCCCCAAATCAGTAATAAGTAATAACTATAGGAGAGTATTCTTCTAAGGTATCAATAGAAATATTTGTTTGGAACGAAACACATATCTATTAAGTATTGGTTTAAATTTCTCGTTAAAATTTGAGGAAAGAGCTCATTTTTATAGTCTAAAATGTGATTTAATGACTGAAGACAAAGTAAGGGGTTAAGGCACTTGTCTTGCAAGCAGTTCACCACAGTTCAGTCCCCAACTCTGTGTATGGTCCCTTCCACACCAAAAGAAGTGATTTCTGAGCAAAGAGCTAGCTATAAGCCCAGAGCAGTGTTGATTGTGGTCCTAAACCAAATCTTAGTTCATTGACTTTCAGGACAAATAGATAGTGGATTTTGCTGTGGTTTCTTAATATGGGTGTTTAAGTTAGGGAATAAAAATTCTGTGACTGTGCATATGTGTTTTAAATGTACCACCTCAAGTTTATAAATAAGCACTTATGTTTAACATATCCATACACATGTTTATGTTTATATACATGAGTACATACATATCTATGTATATATGTATGCATATATACATCTGCTTTTGCATGTTTGTGATATTATTTTAGTTAAAGATCAAATAGTTATTGATTATGACTTAATTTTTCCTTAGCATATAATTGTAATCAGTGTCCAAGGGAGTGGTTCATATATTCCAACAGCTGCTATTATATCAGTAATGAAAAGAGAACATGGAATGAAAGTATGATGGCCTGTGTGTCTAAGAATTCTAAGCTTCTTTATATAGATAACCCTGAAGAAATGGTAAGATTTGAAAGCTGTGTCTATTTTGTTAAATGATATTTCAACAGATGTTATGTTTAAAGAGCTCATCAATGTTTTATACATTATAGATTTTTAAGTTTAATATTACATTTATAAATCTAGCTAAAATTTCTCAAAACAATAACAATTTTTCAGCTTTTGCGATTACATTTTTATACCAGGAATGCTTGCACATTTGTTACTTTTTGCTTCACTGGCTTTTATAAAAAAACAGTGCTTTGTTCATGGAGGTCTCCAGAGCAGAGTTCAGGGGTCACAGGGCTGTTCCTCACAGCACTTGTCTGTATGTGGTACCAAAAATCCAGCTAAAGATTGTGCTCCACCCCTTTGAGCAATCTCTCCAGCTCCTGTAGTGCCTTCTTACTCCAAAATAAGTCTTAATTATGTTATCACTTTATCACTTAATCACTTAACTTCCCGTTAGTCGTCGATTTGCTCGAGCGGGCGCCAGTAACGTCTCCATTTGTCCCTGTTGCGTGCTAGTGTAGCCCAATGGCATCTGTTCGCTCCGGGAACATGAAGGGCCTTAAACCGATCGTTCATGATCTTGACGAAGAAGTCTGACCATCTGGTAGGTGGGCGGCCACGCGGTCTTTTGACATCCCGTGGAATCCAATCAGTAACAGCTCTAGTCCAAAGGTCGTCTTTAAATCTCATTACATGACCAGCCCATCTTATTTTCGACACCTTGGCAAATGAGACAGCGTCCCTGATCCTTGATCGTCCACGGATGTCAGAACTCCGGATTCTTTCTCTCATTTGAGTGAAACGTGATATTCCAAGCATAGCTCTTTCTATTCTTCTTTGGGAGACCTACCTGAATAGCGTTCTCATCCTGTTTGCGTAGGGCCCAGGTCTATGAGGCATATGTTAATGCAGGAAGAACAGTGGAATCAAAGAGATGTGCCCAGAGCCGGAGGTTCTTCGTCCTCTTAGCTATTTCTTCGACGTTCTTGAAGGCGTTCCAAGCCACTCTCTTCCTCCTGTGCAGCTCGGGTGCCAGGTCATTTGTCATGTTGACCTCTGGACCTAGGTACACATAGCTGTTGCATTCGGAGATGGTCCTTCCATTGAGAGCGAATGGGGCGTCAGGAACAAGGCTGTTTCTCCTAAACATTGTCTTTGTGAGATTCAGATTTATGTTATCAATGGGCTGGAAAGATAGCACAGAGGGTAGGGCATTTGCCTTGCAAATGACCAACAAAGGCCAACCCACCTAGATTATCTCCACCTCAAGGCAAAGCCTGGCAAGCTACCTGACTGCCAAACACAGTAAAAACAAGTCTCACAATGGAGATGTTACTGGGCCCACTCAAGCAAATCTTATCAAGGGAGCTAGACATTGTATTGCAAATATTTATCAAGTGAAAAGAAGCAAGTCCTTCAAAGTAAGATCTTCAAACAAAGTCTTCCAAACATGGTATAATTCCTTTTGCCCTTTCTATTTGCTAAATCAGTATTCTGAATTTTAATCTACTATAAATTATGTTTTCTTAAACTTGAGCTTCACATACAAGAGAAGATCATTATGTTCTAATTTTCATTCTCATCTATGTTGTTCCTTCTCATTTTTGTGTTTATAGTTTTTACATTTTTCACTGTTCTATTTGATGACATAATATTTTAAATATACGTATTTAGATTTAAAGATATGCATTTTATAAATATTTTATTGAAATCTTAATTCATTACAAAGTGATATTATATCTATAGTATATATTATATAAACATCTAGTATATTTATGAAATGTCTTATGGTTATTGTATTATAGTTACATTAGTTTTAATTATGAAATATTGCAAATAAAAATTTAGGACATAAACATATATAATATATGATAAATTGATATGTGTGTATCAATTTGTTATATTATTCAGTCATTTTCTAATATTGTGAAAACACATTTTACATAATAGTCTTTTGATCTAAAACTTAAAATTATTAATAATATAAATATTATAAATTCTGATGACTGTATATGAGAATTTTTGTGATATAATTTTTCATTTGTTCGGGGGTCACACCCTTGTTTTTTCTGGTGTATTACTGGTCCTGGACTCAACAATTACTCTGGGGACCAAATGGGATGCCCCAAATCAAACCCGGGTCAGCTACATACATGCAAGGCTTGAATCCTGCACGCCATATCATTTTTGGCCCCAGAATTATTATGATCTTAATAGGCATTTTCCTGTTTGGTAATGATTTGGTATGGATTGAACACATTTTTCTGGTCTAAAAGTATTACAATATTTTCTTATGCTAAATGCCTTTATCTTTTGCCCATTTTTCCTACCTTGCTATCTTTATTTTCCTTCCCAGATGTTTTGTCATATTTAAGTTTTAAACTCTTTTTTGTTTTATGAAATGCAAATATGTTATTTTGACTCAATGGCTTAAAATTATAATTTCTATTGGTGCCTTTTAATAATTACCAATTTGATAATTATTTAATTATATTAAGTTTTGTAGAGCTGGAGCGATAGCACAGCAGGTAAGGCCTTGCACGTAGCCAACACAGCCTACCTGGGTTTGATTCCTCTGCCCCTCTTGAAAAACCCTGCAAGCTATCTTGCCTGCATAGCAAAGCCTAGCAAGCTCCTCTGACTTATACTATATACTAAAAATAGTGACAACAAGTCTCACAATTTGTTGTGATACATTACTGGTGCCCACTTGAGCAAATTGATGAACAACGGGAGGACAGTGCAGTGCTATCAAGTTTAGTAATTAAATTTAATAATGATTAAAGTTCTATTTTGAGAGATTTTTATATATTCAGAAAACAAGTATCTTTAAAGATGCCTAATTTGTAAATCGTTTTTCAAATTTTATCACATGGAATTTTTCTCATAAAATAAAAATTATTGATTTTTTTGGTTTGATTTGGTTTCAATTTGGGGACCACTCTTAGGGGGACTCTATGCTGGCAGTGCCAAACCAGGGTAGCACACATGCAGGACAATAAGACAAACACATTAACCTCCTTAGGTATTAGAAATAAATTGTGATTTTATTGAAATCTTAATTCATTACATTCTTTTATAATTCATTCCTCTTATGTATTAAACTGACCTCTGTCTAATTCAAAGGCATCCACATTTTTCTAAGATATCATCTTCATATTTTATAGTTTATATTCAGGTATTTTAAGATTTTATAGCATGAGATTTGAATTAAATTAGTATTCATTATTATTACCTTCCTTGCTTATTTGTAGCCAACTATTTCTACATGTTGAGAAAGACTGCACTTCGTACTTAATAATTTTGCAACTTTGTTCAAGCCTACATATCATAAATGGGTGACATCCTTTTTATATTTCCTAATGTCACATCGACTTAAATGCTTTTTGGTTGAGTCTGAAATATAAGTATAGCTTATTTAAAGTAAGTTTCTAATAGTAATTTATGTTCTTTCTTTTTAAACTGTCAGATCCTTGTATGCTTTATTCTATCAATCTATCTTTTAAAATCAACTTCCTATTTTCTTATGATGGTCACTCCTGGAATTGATTTGGGTCCTTGCCAGCTGAGAGCCAAACTAAGGCCTTGCATGTGCATTGCTACTCCATTATATAAATATTTGGCCTAATTGATTGTTTTCTGTTCAAAATCGTCCACTTCATATTCAATGCATTCAGCATCAGAGTGATTACATAATTTTAGCTTGTTTACCTTATATTGCAACGGATTAATATGATGGGGCTAAAATATAAATCCTACATGGTATCATTTCAATAAATCATCTTTTATCATATAAAACGATATGTTAAATCTTCAGTGTGATGGCTGTGTCCTTTAACGCTCAGAGTTATTTTACTTGAATGTACATTTGTTTATTTTTATATTTTGCTTTTGTTGTCCATGTTTTGATGTCCTACTTAGGAAATCATTGCCAATTATAATAGCTCCAACTTCCCTCCATGTTTTCTTCTAGAAGTCTTATAGTTTTGAGTTTTGTGATTAGTACCTTAATCCCTTTGGATTTAAAATGGTATATATGGTGCAATGAAAAATTGGCACAGGTAGAGCCAGTCTAGCTGCCAACATTTCTGGCTGATCCTTTCTAAATTGAACAGTCCTGGTGTACATATAAAAAATTATTAGACGAAATATAACACTGCTTATATCTGAATAGATGGCTAAGTGTATAAACTCTCCAAGGGTGTCCAGGGAGACTCTGGCAGCTCTCGACCTTTCTGCCCATGTTTGGGGATGGGCCTGAGCCCCTCCCCCAGCTGGGGCAGCCCAGGCCATGGGGCAGATGGAGGAGGAAAGGAGCACCAAGACATTTGATTGATCAATTGCTGTTTATTTCATCCTCCCCAGGCGCCTGCCCCAGTGTCTCTGAGCCCCCCAGTCTAGTCTCACACTGCCCCTCACACCCGTCTCCTCCTGTCTCTCCTGCTCAACTCTCCAAGCTACATCTCGCTCTTTCTCCACATGCCTACTCCTGCATACTTCTACATCCTTCTCCTCTGTTCCTCTTGCTAGTCTCTCCACACTCCATCTTGCTGTCCTGCTCTTTCTCTAATCTACCCAGCTCTCTTGCCTCTCCAACTCCCCAGCACTCTGGGTCACCACTGCACCCAGTCTGGTAGCCAAATCAACATAAGAAAGCCCTTCCTGACTGCCAGGCACAAGGGTGGGAAACATCACATAGGGGTATTCCAAAGCCCTTCCTGACTGCCCAGGGGCAAAATGCCTCTAAAGGTGTTTTTCTCCTTTCCTCAGTCCAATGACTCAATCAACATCTTAATACTAGTTATTTTTGTATGGACACAGTAAGAGATAACATTGAGACTTTTAGGGCAGCTCTTCTGGGAACATCTTGCCACAGACTCAGACTACAGAGCTCAGGCCAGATTAATCATTCCTAACCCAGCAGGGTCTGAATCTAGTTACTACTTTTTTGATCATGACAACTTTTGTCCATGACCAAGCTCTTACCTTATACTTAAGCGTTAGGCACTTTG